ATGGTACAGAGCCAGATTGTAGGGATAAATTAATAAAATCTACAATGCATGGGCCAATTTGATCAAACATCCTGATTAACAAGGTAGTAAGAATGAAATCAGCAGGACACGAGGTTGGTTTCATGTGTTTCTGAATGAGGCAAATGTCCTGGAAATCTACAGGAGTAAAGACAGACCATGATTGACAGGGAGGGGGTGGTGTGTGTGTGTGTGTGTGTGTGTGTGTAGGGGGGGGGGGGGGGGGTAGGAAGTAGATGGGGGTGAAAAACTTGCCCTGATATTTCTGATTTTATTCTCAAAGAATGCTAGAAAGTTGTTACAGTCAGACCTTGAGTAAACTGACATAAGAGGGGTGTGAGGAGAAACAATCTGGTTTATGGTGTAAAACAGGACATTAGAGTTATTTTTGTTTACAGCAATCAGCTGAGCAAAGTAAGTGGCCTTGGAAGTTTTCACCACCTCATTCAGAGAAATTATCAGTTCTTTAAAGTACAGCCTGTGACTTTCTAATCTAGGGGGGTTAAAATACAGGAGTTTCCCATCCAAAATGGGAACCTTATAATGTGAGGTGTAAAGCTAACTATTCAAATAAAGATTTAAGCAGTGTGTATGCAAGTTGCTAAATGCCAACCCTAACACTACACATTAATTATTTCACAATCATTGATGCTTAGTTTAGCTAGATTTGAATCCTTCTTCCAGGATGAAAGAATGAGCATTAAACGTGGAAAAAACAAATATAAATCAAGTGGTTAGTAGAAGCAAGGTTAGATATGTAGTCATTTTGTTAACAATTTTTTACAAGCTAACAAATCTCAAATTACGTGACAGACATAGCCGAAACACACATTACATTTTATTTCAATTGAAGCCTTAAATGTGTTATTTAGGGCGTAAGGCAAAGCAGATTAAAAACAACTAATAGGGGGGCCGCCTATTGAGTGCTGCTGCCCTATAGAGCTCCGGACGTCACGTGACTCTCAGAGAGTAGACGCCATGTTGGCAGGCAACAAATGTAAACAAAATGAACGGGATCGGCTTGGATTTTACTTCGTCTTAGTTTACTTCACACTTTAAAACCGAAGAAATCATTTTATATAGTCAGAAATTAAATGGACTAAACATCTCCGACACTTACCGTGCCCCTGGGATATTTTTAAAAACGCCAGAAGCTGTCGGAGCGGACTTCTTACCGGACCTGGCCGGGGAACCCCTTGGGATTCCCCCGGAGGAGCTGGCCCAAGTGGCTGGGGAGAGGGAAGTCTGGGCCTCTCGACGCTACTGCCCCCGCAACCCGACTCCGGATAAGCGGATGAAAATGGATGGATGGACAAATAACAGATTTACATGTAAGTAGTTTAAAAAGAGTGCTGTGCTGTTTGAATGTATAAACTGAACGCCAAGAGAAATCACTAGTTTGATATTTTTTCCGTGAATAAAATAAACATGTCAGGCAGGAGTGTCTCAGGATCTGTCTGAGATCTGTCTCGGTGAGACAGATAATAGCAATCCAAAGTGCTTTTTATGTGTGATCTGACAATTGATCAACCATTGCTTAAAAATTAAATACAGCTTAGCCGGTTAATTGCTGTGATCATAAAACACGTAAACGGCAGCACGCAGAACTCATGAGGCACCGTTTTACGTGATGTTTACTTGCTGCTATGAGTAATAAGACAGAAAAAGCCACGCCAAAATAAGTTTAGGAAGCCCACTAAGAATCGTAATAAAAGCATTTAAAATAAATACACAGTTGAGGAAACGTTGGTTTAAGTACCTGATATGAAGTGGTCGCTGCATAAGCGAAAACCTTTACTCTCGGGATCCCACAGCTTCATTTCAGCCCGGTCACTAGCGCGTTTGATTACAATGATCCAACATTTGCGACGCTCCGGATCTTGGGGAATCCTGTAGATGGCTCATTTCTTATGTCGTCCGCGTCTGTTCTGCACCCTGGGGCACAACAGGAATCTACCATATTTCCCGTTTGATTGAGTTTTCTGACAATAACAAATAGTCCAGCTGCGGGCTTCTGCCTGCCAATATGGCGCCATTTCGATTTGAACTGTTGCATGCCGGGAGATGTGACGTCAACTCCTGGAGCTCTATGGGTTAACATTTGTACGTTGCATTGGATAAAAGCTTCTGCCAAATAAATAAACATAAACAAAGTATGAAAAGATGAAGAAAGGTTGTTCCTGCAACATTTCACGTGTGAAGACGGAGGGTGGGAAGATCCATAGAGAGCCACACCCATCTACTTCTGGCCCATTGGTCGCCGGAAGCATCATTTGGAATCGTAGGATGTCCAAGGCTAGACATGAATACTTCCCAAATATGATATGTTCATTTGTGAATAACTTCAAAATAAATAAATAAATAGGCTAGACATAAATACGTAGATGCCCCTGCACTGCAGAGCGTAACAGCTTCACCACCATATTGGATGGGTCTCCTCACTCTGAAGTCAACGCAGGGTGATCAACCATGCTCGTTTTTGTGTAGCCTACTGTTGCAACAAGCGGAGTACTATCGAAAACAGATAATGTGAGAATACTAGTCACTTTTCTAGCCTACCTGATATAATATTATATTTAAATTTATTTTGTTTAATTATATTTATATTTAAATTAAGCCATACCTCGTGTCTGATTTTCAGAAAAAGCTTGAGAAAATTGTTGGTGAGTTGGTTATTGGTTTCTTTTTTGCCATTTCTTTCTCTGTTCGGGATGAACAGATTCATGTGTTTTCTTTTTTTATTTAGTAAAGTCATAAGTAAGACTTCACTTAAATAGCAAAACATTGTGAGACTTCATATCTACCATTTTTTCAACTCTGAGCTGCTTCAATAACCCAACATTCCCTCCAATCTGATGGCCAAACAAAACAATGGAACAACTTGCTATTTACCCAGGAACAGAGTGCGTTGCTGGCTTTTGCCACTTCCCCATGTCACCTCCCATGTGTCAGGTTGTCAAAACGACAGCGATGATTTTCGCTGAATGCGGTCGTTTGTTGCCTCCAGTGCTTCGAGCCCATTAGGCTCCCTATAAGCTGAGAAGCTCTGATATCTGGGAGGGACTTGGAGCCACTGCTCCTCCAGCAGCAGCTATCTATTGCACACAAAAGGTAGTTCTTTTCAAATTTCCCAGTTTGTGACATCACAAACGAGGACTGTTTGAAACAGCTTGTTTTAGGCACATAATTCCTAAAGCCAAACCCTGACAAAAAATGCATTGATGCATTTTTGTCACAATTGGAATTTTTTATAGAGGAAGTAGAGATTTACACATTGGCACCAAAGGATGCAAAGGGTGGTTTTGTACAACAATTCCCCTTTAAATCAGGCCATTGAGCAATTTCCCTTGGATAAAGAACTCAATGTTATTCTCAAGCATTTGTTGTCTACAATGTTCAGGCGTTCCCTGAAGAGACTCTGCTTGGAGCAGTTGATGTCTGCCTTAAGACATTTTATACCTTTGAAATCAATTACCCCAAGCAGTGTTCTCCTTCATGGGACTTCCTACAAACTTTGATCTCAAAGTTTTGAAAAAGCAACAGTATGGACCGGTACTCGGAAGTTACAAATGCTGTATTCTGGCCACGGAGGGCGGTGGGGGTCTGAGTGATGTTTTATTACCTCTGTAAAGGCTCATTTTAGCACATACTGGCTCAAGGAAACTATAGGAAAATGTTGCATAGTATGGCTTTAAATCTGTCAATCTTATCAAAAGGCATGAAGCTGGAAAAACAAAACACTCCCCTGGTCTGGTTTGAGTCCAGGCTCCTGATGGAGATATCATGACTCCAGTTGGAGTAATTGGGATGGAATGAGAGAAGGCGTGGTCCAACATAAAACTGCAATGAGGAGAAACTTTCCAAGTTGAAGCAGCAAATTCTCAAGCTGTAAGTACGATATTTTACTACCTCAGAAAAAGCTGCTGGGTTTTATGTGACTGTTTAGCTGGAGACTGGGAACTATAAAGTGAACCTAACATTTAGCTGTACTGAATCTTTTACATAAACAACTGTTGTTTCATATGTTTGAAAATGAGAGACAAACTCCTTCACTGACCTTTTCTCTAATCTCATTATTTCTGTCAGCATTTTTTACAAATTTGTTCAAAATTATTTACAGGAAAAAATATCAACCATTCAAGCACCCGTGGGAAGGTTTACAGAAATAACCATCGATGTGATGATTTATGGTCATGGCTTTAATGTTTTTTCTTCATTTGTTGCAAAACTTTGCTTTTTCCTGCAACAAATCTTTTTTTCCTCATTATTATTTTCACACAGTGACGGTTGGCCCATTAGCTGATGATCCCGTTCCCATTTCCTGCCCTAAATGCCACCAGACAGTCCTCTCTAAGGTGGAATATTCCTCTGGTTTGCTCACCTACCTCTTCTGTGCAGGACTCTTCCTTTGTGGGCGAGAGAAGTTTGATAATGTGCAAGTTGGATGAACTTTTACAAAATAGGAAAAAACGTTTTTAAATTGTGAGCCTGAATAAAAGTGACAGAAATGAACAAATATTACTGATATGTCAATAAAAGAAGGGCAGTTTGAAGGAAAAACACACTATTTTATTATTGTTATCTATTCAAAAGTGCGATTTGAATCCTCCTATAACAGGAATGGTATAAATCTGTCAGATCAAAAATTATCTAATTTCCTGGAGACCATCGTCAGACTCTCAGAAATCTGGGTAATTTAGAAACCACAACAAGCCTGGTTAGTCAAACAACAACAGGAAAAGGTGAATCCAGTTTGCTGGTTTTCCCTTCAGATTTTACTCAGTGTCATTATTTTTAGGTTAACATGATTTACTTTAAAAGCAAAGAAGCCTGAAACGGTTCATTAGCACTAATTCTAGGAATATGTTTTCAGTTTATGAAAGCACAGCTCAAAAATATTTAATACACTTCTATAAACCTTTAAAAACAACAATAGTGCGTTAATCGAGTGTAGGTGAAGAAGAAAAAATAGTGATCCAAGGCACTTTGACAGCAATTTATTGAATATGTTCATGTTTGTTTTAAGTTCTCTGTGCCAGTGTTGGAGCTAAGGATGCATTGGAATTTCACAGCATCGTCTGCTTATTCTTATGTTACATTATAAGTGGATGATGATAACAGAGTCAGCTTTCTTCTTCAGGTTTGTTCTTGGTTGCTGCCTCATCCCGTTCTGTGTGAACCGTCTGAAAGACACCAAACGCGTCTGTCCCACCGGCAAGAGCATTCTGGGAGTTGATAAATGCTTATAACCCGTGCTACAGCTGCAACAATTGATGAAATGAATCTGCATCGTCATCAGCTATGCAATTAAACTGTAATATTTTATTTTATTCATGTTACCACACAGATGAAAGATCGGACAATCAAACTCTTTTCACCTTTCAGTAAAACTAATCTGGGTTTTAAAATATGTTCTTTGTAAAGTTCATTTATGATTGATCACAAAACATATGCAGTCATAATAACAACATTTTCTTTTTCAAAGCCTCACAAGTTTTTATTTAACTTGTACAAATAATGTTTAAGGGCACTTAAAGTATCTTTCCCCACTTTTTTTGAATGTGATGCTGTTTTATAAACACAACCAACATGCAGTTCAGCTGAAAATAGGTTTACGTTTTAACTGGTTTCTATGAAATGACCAGTTTGTATGCATGAGAAAAAAATGCATCAAAAGAAAAGGAGAAAAGGAGATCAGCTGAGGGCATTAAAGTAAAAATGATCAACTCCCTATTCCAGTACTTTCTCCAAATATGTCATCAGACTTCAAAATAGTATAATTTGCCCCCTTTCACAAAAAATATAAAGCAAATTATAAAACACACTTTTGATCAATCAAGAACATAACATCTGTTGTGTTATTATTGCACAGAAAACACTTTTTTCATATTAATGTAACTTTAACATTAATTCTTCCAATAAGTCAAATAAAAATAAATCATTTTCTAATGAGTGATTTTACTTAACAAAGAATAACAGTGATCCACTTGATTCTTCACATTAGAAGCTGCTGAGAAGAGATGAGGAGTGTGAGGAGAACCAGGAAGGAAAAAATGTCTGCTTGGATGTGAGAACCAGCACCTAAAAAAAGATTCATAAGTTCACTTTGGAGTCTGATAAAAGACACCAACACATTTTAAGCCTTGAGTTAAAACTAAATCTTCAGGTGGTTTAGTTAAATTTGGTTCCAACCAGTGAATGTTTCTGGATTTTAACCTTCATCTAGCATGTGTTGTAGTACTCTATACTTTCTCAAGCATTTGCTGGAGTTGTGAAGACATGAAGTCACTTTGATACAACTAAATGTGTGTAAAAGTGATCCTGGTGGTGCAGGACAGAAACCAGTGTAGTGATTACAGCTGTTTAGTAATTCTTTGTTTGAACTATGTGCTTATTAACTGAAAAGTGACAAAGCTAGCAGCGCTAGGCTAATCAATTTGCTTCCATCCAAAAAGAAAATTAGGATAACAAACTCAAGCAACCTAAAAAAAAAGCATGGTTAAGGTTTTGAGAGAAGAATAAAATCGGAATAAGTTGTTAAAGGAGCAATATGTAAGAATGAAGTAAAACAAGTTTGGTTACTGCTGTCTAATTTTCTACGCAAAACGTCACTTTCTCACTGCTGTTCCGTTTCAAAGATGTTGCCAACAGCACCAGAAGATTCCAGATGACAAGCGAAGACAAGTCACACACAGTAAGTTGATAAGTAGATAAATACATTGTCATATCTTGGGTATTTTACAATAAGGAGTACTTACTATACATATTACACTTCCGCCAGTGCGCCCCAGGGTAGCTGTGGCTACGTTGTAGCTCATTGCCACCAGTGTGTGAATCTGTGCATGCGTGAATGACTGAGTGTGTTGTAAAGTGCTTTGGGGGGTTGTAGAACCCTAGAAGGCCATTTGCTATAGTAATAGCTCTGGCAATAGAGAAAGTGTGGTTGTTTGCCGTCTTGCTGTTATGGTTCTGAACGACTCATTAACCCTTTGATGTATGAATTATGAAATCTTCAACCATGATTTTTTTTCACTATTTCTTTCATTCATCTTTAGGTGTGAATGAAACAAATTTCAACAAATATTTTTCTTAACATTTAATAATTTACAAATAATTTATTACATGTCCACCTCAGTGGACAGCGTGCATTCTGAACATGAAATATGTTGGCTTGACTTACTGAAGCCCAAATGGAGGGTCTCAAGTGCAATAAAGTCTTCAACAGCTGTGTTTAATAGCAAAAAAATTTATAAATAACAATTTTGAGTACCTGTCCACTGTAGTGACCATTATGCATCAAAGGGTTAACGGAAGTAAAATGCGTGATCACTTTAAATCAAGTTGTTGGTAACTGTAGAAGTGGCATGTGATTTTTTAGAGCCGACAATTTGCTTCTAATTCACCATTCGCTTTGTTAGCTTAATGTTAGTCATAGCCTGCTTGACCAGCTATTGGAGTAAAATTAAAAAAAAGCTTCCGTGACTTCTTAGGGCTACAAGAAATAACTTCTGGGTTCCTCTTGTTTACTGGCTTCGGTTTTTTTAAACAACTCTGGAGCTTTTTGCCCGACACTGCCAAAATACAAATGCTGATGCAACAGCGCCGATGCAACAGCGTTGCAATCGGCGCTGACTCAGCAACCTCACAAACTCACTGAATGTAAACAGTAAAGAAAACCTGACAACTCTCCAACCGGCTAAGAGAATCTGTTTCAATGTTACCTCCCTTCTAGTATGATTGAGAAGGACTGTTTTGTGTTTTTTTTCCACTGTAGAATTTTTACATATTGCTCCTTTAAATATAGTTTGTATACAATACTTTTTAAAAGACTCACCAGTGGTAGCAGGTTTAGTGGTGGAAGCTGTAGTTGATAAAGTAATTGTAGATTTAGTGGTGCTTGCAGTTGAAGTTGAGATGGAGGAGGGAGTGTTGGAGGCTGCGGATGGGGCTGTAGAGGCTGCGGATGGGGCTGTAGATGGGGCTGTAGTGGCTGCGGATGGGGCTGTAGATGGGGCTGTAGTGGCTGCGGATGGGGCTGTAGATGGGTCTGTAGTGGCTGCGGATGGGGCTGTAGATGGGGCTGTGGCAGAACCTGAGGATGGCGCTGTGTTGGGTACAGTTGTGGTTTCACCAACAGTTACAGGACCAACCCTGCCTCCCACAAGACCTATATTCAGTGTGTCAAGCTGTGATTGCAGCTGATTGGAGATCCAAAGCTGCACCAGGGTTTGGTTTTCATAATCCTTCAACTGCGGCAGGTTGGTACCAAGGAGACCTTGAACTTCACTAACTGTCAAATTCTAAAGGAAACCAAAAGGATTAATTATATACTTGAGTGCAAACACATAAAACAGAGTAGAAATGTTATGAAAAATCACGCATTAAGTAATGTCACATTACGACGGTCGGAACCAAGGAAAGGCTTCACAGTTACAACACTTACTAGTACAATGGTCCCATTCAAACTTGTGAAAGTGGGCAGGTCCATGCTTATGTTGGCAGCCACCAATTTTTTGATAAAATCAACATTGGCACCACCTGTAGGACGAAAGTAAAGAACAGTGAATTTAATGTTAAACAAAGCTTGCTGCTGTGCAGGTGTGTGTGTGTGTGTGTGTGTGTGTGTGTGTCAGCCTACTCATGTATGATTGTAGAAGCTGGTATATGGTCACAGAGACAGCTGCGCGAGTGGTGCTGGCGAATGCTTGGATGGCAATGCTGAACAGTTCTGTCACTTTGTCTTCAGTGCAACTGGACACGTTCAAAGCATCTGCATTTCTGAGTGGACGTAAAACAGAAGTTAGCATGAGCATATATAAGCAGAGTTTTCTCATGCTCTAAAACATCTGATGAGTGCAGAAATCCAACTGATACAAAGTTCTTACTTGAGGCTTTGCTGTGAAATGTTGCGGAGAACGCTAACATCTAGGGAGCACAGGTTTGGCCCTCCGATGACATTGAGCTCCGCACTGCCAAGTGTGTTCCCTCCCACACTCAGATATTTGGTGATAATGGCTTTAGCCTGGAGAAACAATTATTGATGAGAGCAAGAGTCTAAAAGATATGCACTCTACATTACATTTGGCGTCATGGACGTAATTTTCACTTTAGAAGTGGGGGTGGGGGGTGGGGGGTCACGGGGGGGTGTTGGTGTTGGGGGGGGCGTCTTTACAGTATGTTCTAATGGGAAACAGGCTTCAACACAAATGGTTGTTTTCTGCTTGGTCCTAGAGCTCAACCAGTGCCAATTTAATATAAAGTAATGGTAAAGAGTGCAGGGGTCAAAACTTGACTTTGGAAAAAGTGGGGGGGACATGTCCCCCCTGTCCTCCCCCCAAAATTACGTCCATGTTTGGCATGTTTGCTCACCAAGGTCGGGTCCCACACCCCATTTGATGAGTCCATTAATGCAGCAAGCGTGTCGATCTGAGTGATGGTCCACATTTTGATGTCATCAATCGTAGCCACGCGGGACGCTGGACCTAAGACTTGAACCTGGTCTTCTGGGATGCTGGAGTTATAAGCCTACAAATATGGGAAGTTTAAAGACCCACTCATCCTCCAAACTGCTCCCTAAATATTACTTTTTTGGTTACAAAAATAGATTCATTGCATTTATTTGATAATAATATTAAGAATCCCTAAAATCTGTGTGTTTCCAACAAGCTACTTAAAGTACTTTGAATCAGTTTCACCAAGTTTTGGAACATTTTCGCATAAAGATAAATAAATTCCTGTAATTTTATGATTTTTAAGATCACATTTTAGACACATTAAAATGCTGGTAAATTCTCCCATAAGCCACTTTCAGTCACCTACCTCTCGAAGCTTGCTGAGAACAATTTTGAGGTAGTCCTCTTGATCAGCCATCGAAGCAATGGCCTGCAAGTTAGCTTTGACTACCGCAGCGCTAAGGCAACTGTTGAACTGGTTTATGTCGCTGTAGTCGAAGGGGAAGGTGTTATCGCTGATCGTCACTTGGGTGATCGATCCCACCATGCAGTTGGTGACTGAGGCAGGAAAATTAAATGTTAAAATCTGAATCTACTAAACAAAAACGTGAGCAACTGTTAAGTGGACTGACCTGTTGCCCGCTTCGATCGAGCAGTGAGAGACAATCTTATTTGTTGCTTCAGCCTTCTTGTTTTTTGTTTGCTCACTCTGCTTTTGTTGAGAACTTTCAGGAAATAACCCAAGAAAGTGCGCTTTGTTCGCTGTGAAGAGGTGAAAACAGGAAGCATAAACCACCTTAATCCAACACCACCTGAGGGGTTCTCTACTAAAGGCAGGTGATAATCTGTCACTCACTTTGTCAAAGTTGCCGTAAAAAGTTGAGGTTAAATACAAAGGCAGCATCCCCAGGTTAATCAGAGTATTCCGATTCCATGATGAAGTAACTCTGATCATAAAAACAAAAGAACATGGTTGTTTTAAAGGCTGCTCGTAATGATTTTGCTGAATAAAGAACATTAACTGTTCCTTTAGCGGCTGCAGGCTCACCCATATGTAGTGTTCCCGCTGGTCAGCAGAGCTTCAACTGCAGCTGCCTGAGCAGCAGTGAGCTCCGGGCAGCTCTTCAGCGTCTCCAAGATGGATGGGTCAGAGTTTACGATGTAGGATCCATCCAGCATGCAGCACATGTTTCCCAAAATGGATATGTGGTCCAAAGTTAGGCTTGTGTTCGTTATACCCTAGGATGGAGGATCAGCATGTAACTAAACATTTAAAGAACAACCAGATTTTACTCTTGCTGTGTTTATTGAAAAGGATTTTGACTCCATCAGAGACCCACAAAATCTCCAAACTGCAAAAACATTTTTACACTAATTTGTTTAATATTGGACACAGAGCAGTCCAGTGTCTGAGAAAGGTTTTTAAGATAAAAAATATAGCAATCAGTTTTTGCCCAATGCAGTCATCAATTAGAGGCTTAAATTATCAATGCTTTTATTTTGTGTTGATGGACTCACCATCTCAATTCAGTTCAATTCAAAAATACTTTATTAATCCCAGAGGCAAATTGATTGCTGTAGTAACTCCGAATAATAATAATAATCAAGTCATCAAAGAGTTGTTGTATATTATCTGATACAGCCTTAAATTTAGTTTTACATTTAAGTGCATATTACAGAGTTCAATTATTGTTCTTTTGCTTCTCACCAAGCAGCTCCTGGCATTTACAAACAGAGCAGTCCGCTTGTAGCTGAGGACCGAAGAGAAGATGAAAAAGTCTGCATTGCCTAGTTGTGCAAAATAGGACCTGCAGCTGCTCTGTGGCACCAGTGAGTAACTAAAAGAGGACACAGATAAGAAAACAGGCAAATTTAAAATCTGTATTTAACCTTAAATTAACCCAAATAATGATGACACATTCTTACTCATAGTACAGCAGCATATTGGGAGGGTATAAATGAAAGCTGGTGGCATCTGGATCTCCCTTCACATAGTTGTACATACATGTCAGCTGGAAAAAGAGATAAAAAGAAGAATGGGTTTTCTTTTGTCCTCTATTCCTCTATTTTCCCAAGATGATACATACTTAGTCTGTTTTTTACCCTTGAATTCAGTTTGGACTTTATTATCTCAGCAGCCGTCACTCACCTGAGTCTCCTCCAGCGAGACCTTGTTCTGGTTCGTCCTTCGACAGGCTCGGATCAGCTTCTTAACCTGCACCACTGATAACGTCCTCACGCTCGTGCATGTGAACCCTTGCAGCGCAGACGAGGATAAACTACACACACACACACACACACACACACACACACACACACACACACACGCGCGCGCGCACACACACACACACACACACACACACACACACACACACACACACACACACACACACACACACACACACACACACACACACTGTAATCCTTGCACACACTAAACTACGATTTGCTTCATGCTGAGCATGGCCACATGCACTGAAATCCACCAGATCTCCAAAGAAATTTCACTTGAACTCACTTGTCTGGACTTCCCAGCTCAGCTGTAGCATTTTCCACAGCTATGACATTAAAGAACAGCTCAGCCTAAAAACACAGAAACACTTTTATTCATCAACATGAACAGGTAACGTGAAGATGTACATATTGTACTGAAAAAACTCCTCACCTGCTGGCGTTTCCATGTCTTCCTGTTGAGCATGGTGACAACGTTGCTGCTGTCAGTAAACCCCTGCAGCAGAACTCGAGGGATCTCTGTGGCCATTTCATCCGGAACGTTCTGTAGGATCGTTTCTCTGGTGTTGCTCACTGATATGATCTTATATAGCAAGAGAAGGAGAGAAATTGTGAGTTTCATGAGAATTAAATGTACTATAATGTAATGAAGGATGCATGAGTTGTCAGTAAGCTTTTTGAATAAATTAAAGAATTAGAAGGGAGAGAAAAGAAAATGTTGCCAGAATTTCACCAGTAAGATGGATCACCTTGCATGTCTAGTGCTGTGAAAGATGATTTGCCATCTCACGGTTCAGTTAATGGGACTGATCGCAAGTTTTAACAAGGGGTTAGTTACTTTTTCCACATAGAACCAGGTTGGTTGGGATAGCCTTTTTCATTTTAGGAATTAAATCATTTTATGAAAAGGGCATTTTGTGTATTGAAATTCATATTATATTCTGAAATTTTTAACTGGCAAAAACATAAACTGAAGAAATCATAGTTATAAATAGTTTGTATCAATATTGCTGCCGTACCTTATTGACAAATGTCAGCTGGACGACTGCTGGAGCAGACATCAAGTTCCCCACGATGGATGGGTTTTGGGATGCCATTAGGATCTGGGTATCGCTGATGCTGACAAAAACTGTGGAGGGAATGCCCACGATGAGAAAGCCCAGCGACACCAGCGAGGATGAGCTGTTGATCTGGTGGGGTTAAAATTAAAAGATTAAAGAGACGATAAAGATGAAAGACTGTTTTTAACTGATTCCCGTGAAGCTACCTGGAAAACCCCTGAAGACGTCAGGGACTGAATGATAGCTGTAGCCTGTCCTTTGCTCCAGCTCATCACGTTGGCCAGAATGTTTAGAGAGTTCTTCAGGTCCTCGGGCTTTATCATCATGAGCTGACCTGCAGAGATGCTGGCGCTTTCATCACCCAGCGCAGTGATAACCGAGGCATCGATGTTGTCTCCAAAGTTGCTCGATAAAGCTGCAAAAATCTACAAATACACAAGAACAACTCTGGCTTTATTGGTCACATTTCTGATATTTAGTGATGTTCCATTATATCTTACATGTTTTATTATTATTATTATCATTATTAATAATATTATTATTATTATTATTATCATCATTATTATTATTATTATTATTATTATTATTATTTATTTTTTTACATCAACTTAATTGGGCTGAAAAGCTTATTTATACCCAAACATATCCATTTTCAACCAGATTAATAAAGTTATAAAAAAGAAAAAAACTAAAGTATATTTGTATTAAAACAAAAGAACAATTCTGCTTCCCGTGCTTAAAATTAAATTCACAACAAACTACTCAAATAGATTTTAGACAGGGCAAATAAAAGGATGATGGTTCCACCAGTAATTCCTTTTTTCAGATTTTTCCTTGATTTGTCTCTCATCGGTTGGTCGGTACCACTAATAATTCTGAGTCTATTACCTGTGGATCTGGGTCTGTGCAGACGTTGGTGAAGTTGTGCAGAACAACCATGCTTTCTGCTGCAGTCAGCTGCGTGAACGCTAACCCGGGAGCAACGCAGCGAAAGTAAAGAGGAAGACTACAAAGAGAATTAAAAACATGAAAGAAGATTGGTTGTTGTTCATTGTGATGTTTGGGGGAGTTGTTGTGAGTGGAGCCCAGTTTTAGCATCTCTAACTCACAGTAAGGGGTTGAAGTTACTGTCCTGTTGATAGATCAGCTGAGTGTAGAAGTTGGTGAGGTTCTGAGGTAAAGCTGAGTGGCTGAGGAGTGCGATGTTCAGAGGATTTACTGTGAACACCTGGATAACCTGGAGGGAGAAGGAACAATCAAATGTTTGTTGTCTCAAATCTTTCAGGCCTTAGAGAAAAACAATCCTGATTCAGTACCTCCTCAGATCCAAATGACTGCAGAACCTCCAGAGTGAGGAAAGGCATGAACGGGCCGATGTACTCTACAAACCAAGCTGTCGAGTTGAGCTCTGGGTCACTGGAGTTGTAGCACTTTGGTGTGGACTCTGAAACAACAAATCATAAATATTTAAATGGATAATTATTTTCTCTAGCTAAATAGACATTGGTCATCTGACAGCCTCTAGAATGATCTCTGAATGACCTTAAAGTTGGGGTTAGGGTGGTCTGGTTCCAGAGTGCTGCAGTCGTAACATATTTCTAATTTTTTAAAAATCTGTAAATGTTCATGCAATTGCTGTTTTATAATCCTTTGCTAATAATGCCATAAATGTAAAACTAATGACTACACTGTTACAACTGAACAGGAAGTGCTACAAACAGCTAGCTCCTGTGCTGATGTGCATAGATTTTTAATGTAAACATCAGCATACTGGGAAAATTTTGGGCTATTTAAAGACATATTAATCAGCGTTTGCGCAAGCTGTTATGAGACTTTTAAGATTACAAACGTCTAAAATTGGCGGCACCCCACTTTGGAACCAAACTAGCTGCTAGCTCATCAATCTGCGCATAGCTGATGTCTATTTTTTAAACTAAAATTGTGTTAAAAGTTTTCAATAGGTGAGAGATTATGTCAAAGTATCACTCAAAGTTATGAATCTATAATGTAAGGTGTTGTTGAAATATAACAAGACATATTTGCATTTATTTTCACAAAAAACCTTTAACAAAATCTTTTTCGTGTCACGGAGAATGTTGTTTTTTTAAATTTCCGAAGCTAAAAAGATGTAAAATAAGGAATGAACATCAACAGAAGTTAAAAGATTCAAACTGACCTGTAGAGAGATAGGATGTGATGATCTCAAATACATCTGACTTCCCAAAATCTGCTGCAGTGTAGTTGAATGCATCAAGAACTGAAACACTAAACAGAACAAAAGAATTGTTGGACACAAACACAAAAAGCACACCTCAGCAGAGTAAAACCAGGTAAAGACGGTAAAGACGTACAGCTTCTGGAAGGCCAAGCATGAGGTGTTGGCTGTGACTGCTGGACTGATCAGACTCTTTGTGAGGAAGACGAAGTAGTTTTGTAGGCTCTGGTTAAACCAAATATTGACCTCCGACCTGCTGTGGCTGCTGAGGGCCGTGGGCCACACACAAGACAGAGAGGGCCGTCCAACTTCCGCCGGCAGAGACTCCTGCAGAGATTACACAGTTTTTCATATTGATCTCATTGGAAAGTGTCCCTACATATTTCTGTATTTTATACGTACGGTCGCCAGGAACATGGGTGTCTGGTAGTAGTTGTTGTAGAGGTCACACAGCTTAGCATCATCATCCACAACATGTGGGCGTTGCAGGAGATTTGCAAGTTGTGATGGAGGGATGGAGTTCACCAGCTAGAAGATTAGAAATAACAACATTTATCACTTTGCCCCTAGTTGCTTGTGTTTGTTCCTGAGAGAAATCAGCTCACCTGAAACAGTCTGCCCTGAGGCATGAGGGACAGGAAGGTCGTCAGGTTGGGGAACTGGAACCCCAAGAACGAGCCCTCCACAAAACTGTAGAAGCTGCTGTTGTAGTTGTAGCAGCGGAGGGATGGCGGACCTGTTAATTACATGTGATGTTTGATGTGGCTTAGATTTTTGATGATGAGGTTAAGGAAGAAGTTAGCTTTGTTTGACAACCAGTGTCCTGGTACAGTGAAACGTAGTTTCACTACAGCCATACAAAGACACATGAAAAACGGTTTACTGTGGGTACACAGCCATCAGGGCTCTCGTTAATGCAGATAAATAAAAATGGGTGACACTAGGGCAGGAAGGGATGAGGGAGTAAAAACATGTGCTCCCACTCTGCTTCCTACAGGGATCAGTGTTGGCTTATAGGAAAAACACTTCAGACATAAAAGCACACACTCAGATAGTCACAACACAATCGAATGAGAGGTGGGGGGGAGGGGTGGGAAGCATCAGAGGGAGAACAGCAACTGCTGAAGCTTGGCCTTCAACCTCTACTGCTCTGCAATTGGGAGGAGAGTTTCAGGGATGCGTGAACACGTTGAAAAACTGGGAGTGTGTGCGTGAGTGTGTGTGTGTCAGTGTAAGTGAGTTCATGAACATTCTCTCAGTTCAGCTGCAATGCTTCAGATGTAACCACACAACCTTCCACAGGCTGGTCTAAAGAGACAGAGAGAGAAAGACTATGAGGATGGTCTGATGATGATGAAACTTCGCAAATACAAAAGAGATACTACAGACTACCAGCAGGGGAGGATGTACAACTTCCTCCTTAAGGAGAATACTCCAACCACATCGGGGAGAGCGCCCCCATGAGCGACTCAGACTGATCTAGGTCCTATAGAAGCCTCAACAGATCTACAAGAAACCCATCAAAAAACGATCAACAAGGAAGAGACAGAAGAAGGAAACGAGACGGGGCAAGAAACGCTCCACCCGGACCCAGGCCCTTCACTCGCCAGCAGGGGAGAATCCAGTAATCAATCTGTCCAACAAGATACTCACCACACATCAAGTTTCTGCTCTATCTAAAGGATTCAGTTTTGTTCCAACATGTACAGGGGATTCTTTAGAAATTAAAGAAGACTTATTCTTTTTCTTTCGAAAGCTTAATCTGAAACATGTGTACGATGGTTCTGAATCACAAGCACCAAAACCTCTTGTCTTCAAAAAGAGCAGTAAATTCAACCCTGCTTGCACAAATCCATCTGTACAGATGTTTTGTAGAATTGCGGCGACAGAGATTCTGGAAAATTATCAAAAGACCTCTGGTTACTCAAACGTCTCTGTGGATCAAAAGTTGGCAATCCAGGAACTCTCCAAAGATTCTGATATTATTATAAAACCTGCAGACAAAGGGGTGCAATTGTCACACAAAATATGGATGACTATAAAGAAGAAGCTTATCACCAACTGAATGACACATGTTTCTATAAGAAACTAAGATCTAACCCCACCCAAGATGTCCAGCAAAAAAAAAAAAATCCTTGAATGCACACAAAAGGCTCTTCCAGACAGATGGATCTCTCAGAATGAATAGGAGGTTTTGAATTGTAAATATCCTCTTACTCCAGTTTTCTACATGTTACCTAAAAATTCATAAAAGCCTGGTGAATCCTAAGGGCAGACCCATTGCAGCCAGTAATGATTCTCTTCTGGAACGCCTATCAGAGTTTGTTGATCACTTTATTAAACCATATGTACAAAATCTTCCATCTTATATAAACGATTCTATAGATTTCATAAATAACATCTCAGAAACTCATGATCTTCAAAAATACACTATATTAGTCACCCTTGATGTAGAAAGTCTTTACACCAACATTTCCCACGACAGAGGCCTAGATGCTCTAGGTTTCTACCTACAGAACCATGCAGACTCGCCTCCTAATGAATTCATCATTGAATTGGCATCAATGGGTTTGAGATTCAACTTCTTCTCCTTCAATGGGGACTTTTACCTACAATTAAAGAGAACATCTACGGGTTCTACCTTTGCCCCAGACTATGCCAACTTATATACGTTTTTTTAAGAGACTTTTGTCTTTAATCCTGTAATAAATTTATTCCACCATAAAATCCTCAAATGATTTAGATATTCGGATGATATATTTTTTCTTTTTCAAGGGAGTAATGATGAAGTAAAAAATTTGGTGTCTTTTCCAAACGGCTGTAATCCAGATTTAAGATTCTCCCTACAATTTGATCTTGTACGTGCCCCTTTCCTTGACATGTGGGTCGAAATAAACAATGGCCATCTATTTACATCATTCTATAGGAAAACAGCTGGCCATAATACTCTTTTACTTGCTTCTAGTTCTCATTTAGGCTCTTTAAAATATGATCTTCCTAAACATCAGTTCTTCAGACTCTGCCACTCTGATGAAGATTATAATGAGAAGAGTTTAGAAATGAAACAACGCGTTCTAGACAGAGGTTACTCTAATCAATGCATTGAGGAAGCATATGTTGCTGCATTATCCAAACCTAGACTTGAACTTCTTAAAAAAGGACAAATAAAGAAAAACAATGTTCTGTTACAGAATGTTAAGAGAGGATCAAATTAACGAGATAGAGTTGCGAAAGCTAACATCCTGCCTCCACCAAAACAGTTAACTCTTGCTCCCCTGCGGCTTGGAAATGACCCCTGTGGAAACTGTGCTCAGTGTCACAATACTGTGAAAACTCCTGACTTACGACATCCAAGAACAGGAAAAAGATTCTTTGTTAAGGGCATTACGACGTGTAATTCTAAAAACGTAATTTATTCGTTAAAATGTCCCTGTGATAAAGTTTATATTGGCAAAACAACAAGACCACTTAAACAAAGAATCGGTGAGCATAAGAGTTCAATCAGACGAAAGGATTTGAACTATCCAGTAGCACGTCATTTCAATGATTTTTCACATCCTGTATCTTCACATAGATTCCAGGGGATAGAACATATTTCATTACACAGTGGAGGCAAATTAGATAAAAAAATTTTGTCAAAGGGAACTATTCTGGATCTACACTTTAAATTCACTTCAATCATTTGGTCTTAATGAGGATTTTGAAATGTCTGTATTTCTCTAAAAATATATGGTTGGATAATTTTTTTATAAATATTTTATTGCCTTGCTCCATGACGGCTTTTTTAGCGTGATGCCTGCAATGTATTAATCTCTTCCTTCGGTAGGTGATTTTGACATGTTTTTATAAGATTCTGTAAGCTTCTTGTGTCAGGGCACTATGTTTTGTAAATGGGACTCCATCCCCCATAATGCTTTGTTGTGTGGAATTACCACAGGTGTTTTACATCAGCTGCTGCATGAACATGCACAATTCCTGATGAAGGTATTTTGACCGAAAGCTTGAGGAGAATAAATATTATATTATCGCAGATTGAAGTGTGCAGATTTTGTTCCTCTTCGTTCTTTTATCCAACACCTCAACCCAGATGAGCGGCGTTTCGTCATTTTTAAAAACGTCAGCCATAAAACAAACAGTTTAAACGTTTTAAAGGCTTTGTTTGTGGGCCTTTTTTTTACCTTTCAGAGTCTGGATGATGTAATTGTAGATTTCTTGCTGTGTCTTTTGGCTCAATGTGGGGATTGTTAAGTTGAGGTTGGCCACACTGAAATATAGACATAAAAAGTTATAAAATGTTCCCAAACGAGTTTGAATTTGGAATCTTTGAATCTTTACTCGGATGTTTCTGGCTCTACACTCACCCCTGCTGCTGGATGCCGCAGCTCCTTCCTGCCAGTATTTGAAAGTACGGTTGGACTTGGTTAGGCGGCAGACCGATCAGAAGGGGAGGCAGTCGATCCTGAAGCCACCGAGTCACAACCGAGTCATCCACCCACGGATAGGAGAGGTTTGCACGATCAAACACAATTTGCAAAAAGGTGGATCTCACTGGGGAGGAAATCGTGTTCTCTTGACTCTGTAGAAAGAAAACAAAACACAAGACAAACACTTCAATATAACAACAGTAATGTATTATTAGTGTAATCAGCGATTTGTGATATTTTTGTGATTGCAAGCGTGACATTTTTTCTTACACTGATGGCAGTCGACAAACCATCAAAGAAAGATGCAAGAAGCTGGTCAGAGACGTGCATCATCACCATGGTAACCTGGTCAGGAGATGTGAGCTGTCCAGGTTTGGCAGAAAGAAAAGCCAGCTGCTGGACAGTGAGTAGTGACAGGGTGTCCAGCTGCAGGAACCCAAACAGACACATTTATTGTGACACCGAGATGAGTAATAAATCAGGGGGGTTGCAGAGGCATGATGAAACATCACCAACCACTGAGAAGTTGGAGTGGAGCTGTAGGAGTTCCTGGGTGGAGATGAAGGAGGAGAAACCTCCCAAGTTCTTCTGCAGCCACTCTGCACTGTTTTTAATGTATAAGCTGCAGGCAGGATCTGAACCACAAAGAAACTGTCTTACACATGTTTACAGCTCTGTTAGAAAAAAAGCATTCATATTTGCTCCACAGTTGCACCATGATCTTCAGTGTGCTGACTGGTCAGATGTGTCAAATGCTTAATTTTGTGTTGGTCCATACCCACGGTGTCGTTCCTGGCCAGGAAAGCCTGAATGAAGTGTGTGTAGACAGACATCTGCTTATAAGGCACCATTTGAGGCATGACTCGACTCAGAATCTGCACACTGAGTGTAAAAAGGGGATGGAAGCACATGAAAGAGAACAATATGGATTAGGGAAATGTTTTAGAAAAATCAATGCCAACTATGTCTCTGCTCACATGTTCTGGTAGGTGCTGCAGTTCAGGTCTTTTGTGGCAAAACATGTCAGGAAGTCGGTAGAAACGGTGTGCAAGAATGGGTATAGGCGGCTGTTGAGCCACAGCTGGATGAAGGCGGGATCATTAAGAACAGCCGTGCTGACAACATCCAGCCTGATTTCTCTTATGGCGTCCAGAATAACAGGTACGGAAGAGCTGTTGGTCTCCAGAGTCTGCAAAACACAAACAAATGTCTTTGTGTTGCAATCAAAATCTAAAGATTTATTCTTCCTAATTATTCTTACTGAGTTGGCCAGAAGATCCAGAGCTTTATCCAGAACCAGAGATGCTTTAGAGAGGAGAAGCTTCCAGCTGGCCAGGGATCCACTCGAGTTAGAGACGAGATTACATGTCATTAGCTCCGCCAGGTCCTGAGCTGTTAACGCTGACAACTGTCAAAACAGACGAGACGTTTAACCAGCAACCCGAAAATCAACCCGGACTACCTGGAGATGCTTCACCATCTCACCGAAGCACAGGCCAGTTCCCCGACAGTAAAGCCGCAAACGCGTCCGCTCAGCTGTCTGCTGTTGATCTGGAGCTGAAGATTGGTGCTGTGAATTCAAATTAAACACATCATATTTTAGTTATGACCTTTTATTTAATCAAAAGAAAACACTTAGAGTTTCAGAAATCCTACCTGTTCTTCCCCAAACAGATTTCTGTCTCTGTGGAGATAAAAAATACAATTATTTAACTTATTTATTACAGAACTAATAAATTACAGAACCATTCTAAGTCATCTTACCATTTATGAGGGTGACCTTACACTGGAGACAAAATATAAAGATGGTCGTGAATCTTTAGAGTTTCAGGCATTAAACAGAAGATATGACAAGATAGACTTACCTGCCCACTGTATATGATGCAACCTATCATTGAAAAACAAAATTATTACTTTGTGTTTTTATGAAAGCCCTGCATTATCTTATTGAGGCTGAATAAATACAAAAAACAAAGGTTTTCTGTTTAAATCTTTGCCTGCATAGGCAAGAATAAACCTGCTTTCCTCTAGATGTTACTGCTAAAACTGTGTATTTTGAACTCTTACCAGGGGGTATTTGTCTGAGTAAAGCAGTTTTACTGTATGAGACGGATGAAGATAAATCAGATGGAACTGTGGCCAAAGCCTCGTCCAGTCGGGTAAAACTGAAGCAAAATGACAATTTTAAGTTAATCACTGTTATTATTTATGCACCTTTCAAGGCCGTAAGCATATTTTGATTTGAACTCACAGAGTTTTGTATGATGAGCAGGAAAAGCGTCCCTTTAAGAAGAAAGCAATACAAACAGTCAACACCCAAACAAGCACAAACGTCCTGGGAAAGAAGAGGAAGGTTTTACCTTCTCGAGGAACCCAACGAGTTGGGAGAGGAAACCTGTAAAGTTCCTTTCCTTTGGCAACTGAGTCATGTAATCAAACAGCAGGTTGATAATGGCGTCTTTGTTTGGAAGTGAGGAGATATTCAGCACCAGCAGCTCTGCAGTCTGCACTGGTGTGAGGAACTGGAGGGCCCCCAGCTAAAACAGACAAACAAAATATTATAAAAGTCATTTCCATGGGTATTCACTGGCACTGGGTCCTTAAAACGCCACGATTTAGGTTTAAATTGAGTCTAACCGGGTTAAACTCGGGGTTGAGATCAAGCAGGTCTTTGACAGAAAGGAACATTGAAAATGGACCCAAATAGTTGGTCAGCCAGTCTGCGCTGTTGTTGTAAGAAGACAAGCATCCTGGACCTAAAACACGCCGAAAAGAAGAAAAGAAAATATTCAAACAATGACAGTTTCATAATCAACTAATGCCAGATTTACTGATGTGTGTGAGCACCTGATTGAGGCGAGGACAGTAAAGGAAGGATGAAACTGTTCAAGACCTCGTGCTGCTCTTGTAATGACATCACCTCAAACTGATTACTAAACACCTGCAGTCTGATAGCAAAAAATAAAATAAAAAAGGAAAGAAATTATTGGCACCTATTATCCAGTTTGTTCTCAGATTACATTCGATGAGGCACCAGATTTATAGAAGACACCTTAGAGTAGTTTGGCTAATGTGCAGGAATGTCTAAAGCACATAGGCTACAAAAATAATGCTTTTTTTTTCTTGGCACATTTTATTTATTTATTTATTTATTTATTTTGAACAATATTTAATAATATATTGAATTTACAAAGATTTAGAGAAAAATAACACAAACTTAAGTCAAAATAAAATAATATTATCATGTATTTAATAAAATGTTTTTATTAAAAGTGTGTAAATGTCTTTTAAGTTGTTCTCAGGAGGAAAAATATACCGGTGCACCACTTCCAGAAACTACCAGCCACCCACATAACATCTCAGCTCCAGACGGCAGGTTTTGGAGTCTTATTTCCTGATATTTGGACAGCAACCACTGACTTGCAACATGTTTGATATCCACAAACAACACAAGCCTGAAGGAGCTTCTGCCGTGTGGTGGAGTTGCTAATGCTAATGGTTAGCTTATACTGGTATGGACGCTTTTCCGCTGTGTCCTGGACGTTGAGCCAACAGCAGACTTCCCCGACGTGAGTCAAGATGGGTGAGAAGTGACGGTGTGAGGTAGATATGCCAGGCTTTTGAAATCCTAGAGTTTCACCATCTATTTTCCATCACAGGCTAATGCAGGAGATAGGTGTAGGAGACTATTTTCATGTTTAGCCTGCATGAAAAACTCACAGGGACTGATTATAATCAGAAATAATCATTACAATACGGGTTTTCAGTGTTCCACACGTTTAAGTTCAATCTGAATAATCGAATGATACATTAGAAAGAACATTTTTATTGCATATTTGTTTGTTTATTTATTTATCATGTTTGACATTGTAGATTGTGAAAACCAGTTTCAGAAGTTCTGAGGAATTTGGAGGCAAATTTTGAAAATAAAATATTTTAAGGCCT